AATTTCCTTTTCAGTACCAGAATAATTACTCGTGCTGTCTAAACACAATTTATTACATGTGGCCTTGAATGTAATTGCCAACAAAATACTGACAGCATATTATGCTGAAGGGAAAACAAAACACAAACTCAGCTGCTTTTGACTCATAGTGACCCTAAGTGGACTCAACCTTTCAGTTAGCAGCTGATTGTTTAACTATTTCACCACTCAAGGACTCCCACTGAAGGAAAAGGAGAAGGCAAATAAATAGACTTTGTGAATGTGGGCAACTGTTGCAGGCTTCAACATCCCAGAGAAGTGATTCATTTTCTCCCATTTATAACTGAAACCCTAAATTAATCCAGAAAGGGAAATTTTTGCTAGAAGAAATCCAGAATAGGAAACATGTGGCACGGTATTTCATTGGTTTTGAGGATTTAGCATTGGAGTAATAACAGAAGGCTCACCCAGACTGTTCACTGCTGTGATGTAGACTTGCAGTTGTTGTTGGTTCTGACTCATAGGGTTTCCAAGGAGTGGTTGGTGGGTTTGAACAGCTGATCTTGTAGTTAGCAGTCCACACCAAGACTCCAAAATCATGGTTAGAAGGTTTATAATATTGACTTTATTTTGCAAAGGGGCTTCAAAAAGTAGAAAATGGAAATAAAAGGTAGAATTTTTCCATTAACTTTTTGAAACTCCTTCATATTTCAGGGACTCAACTGTATTTTTTTTTTTTTTAACTTCTGTTTGTTATTCTGAGTAAGTATCAAAAATGATGCATACACATCACCCAAAAGACAAGAGATACCCATCAAAGAACATTTTGATTAAAGAACCCATAAGTATATTCTTTAATTAATGGAAACCTTGAATGTCTCTGCATCTGCTATCAGTGGAATTGGCCTGTTTCGAGCCCAGCTAGAGCTATCAGTGATGGAGAGCTGGGGGCTGAGAGAACTCATTAGACCCTAGTTCTGTCATGGTCCTTTCTAAAGAGTCCATCAGTCAACACTTTCTCATTCAGCCAATGAGCTCCTTCAGGTTAGTGATTTTAGAAACTTTGCTTTGGTATTTATGTAAACCCAAAGTACCTTTATTTCCCATTCTAGTGCACTGAAAATACTTCCCATGGACTAGAAAGCCTGTGTGCTCTGGCCCTGCCCTCTTTACTTATCACCCTATCTCTTCATTGCACTTTTCTTGCTCTGCTCATGCTTTCTTTCTGTTCCTTGAACATCCCATCCTTGTATGCCACTTCAGGCTTTTGGACTTGCTGGGAAAATTCTGCTGCTTGCTGCTTACCTGGCTTTTATTTTTATTTTTTTGTCATAACCAGGTCACAGTTCAGACAGGCCCTCCATCATCATCATCATAGTTAAATTGACTCCTTGATTCCTTCCATTTTCTATCACCTGATTCTATTTGATATTTCCCCCCCCCCCAAAAAAAATTATTTGCTTACTTCTTTTTCATCTATCTTTCTAGAACATAAACTCTAAAATTTTTTGCTTTTCTCATTAGTGTGTTCCCAGTGCCTAGCATAGAGTAGGTACTCAACAAATGATGTATTAAATGACAGTTAAGGGAAAGAACTGCTCCCTTTGTAAAATGCAAAGTTTATAGATGATTGATGTCACACTTCCTTAGCCAATATACCTTACTGGAATATAATAAATCCCTTTTTGACCCAGTATTCCTGGTTCCTTGTCCCACCTGTAACCTACTTGCCCTACCCAGGGCCATCAAATGGACTCTACTCATCAGACAGACTAGAAGTGCCCCACAGGGTTTCCAAGTCTGTAAATCTTTACAGACATAGCCTGCAACATCTTTCTCTGGCAGAGTGACTGGTGGTTTTGATCTGCCAATATTTCAGTTAGCAGATGAGCCTTTAACCATTACATCACCAGGCTTTCTTCCCACCTGTTACTCACCTGTAATTACTGTAGAACCCCCATATCCGCCAGCCGCTTTGACAGCTCCCCATTTTCTTGCATAGTTATCAGATCACTGCATCCACCTATACAATTATTTCCCATAAAAACCCGAGGTACCTAGAAAAGCAAGCCAACCAGGAGATTTAGGAATTTAAGTATTAGATTAGAAAAGAATGATCCCCTATCTGCTAACTCCATTTGCAGGGCCTTAGAGCTCTGGTAGCGTAGTGGTTACGAATCGGGCTGTGAACCGCAAGGTCAGCAGTTCGAAACTACCAGCGGTTCCACGGGAGAAAGATGAGGCGTTCTGCTCCCGTAAAGATTTACAGCCTCGGAAAACCCTGTGCAGGGTCACTATGAGTCGGAACCGACTCCACGGCACTTAACAACAACAACAACATTATTCTTAGGCTAGGCTCCCTCCCCGTGTAAGGACAAAACAGCTGGCTAATGGAAAAGGCAAAGGGGGCCCAAAAACGGAGTGGTAGTAGAAAGAATATTTTATTCTATTATCTACTGCTAGTAGAAAGAATATTTTATCCTTCCTCAAACATTTTCTATTACCCACAGCTTTTCAAATCACTTTACAACCTCCTTATGTGTACCCTTTTCAGAACAACTACTCTGTTTCTGTGGGTTGTTTCTTTTTAAAGAGTGAAATTTTCATTTAAGAATGTTTTTAAGCCAGGCTGTTTTTCAAATTCAATGTACTCTGTATCTGTGTGATGATCCAACTTGTCAAAATGATTCAAGATTTTCACTCTAGAGGAACAAATTTCACAGAAAGATTTTTGTTTAGCCATATCTCAACCACCCACATTGAATTTTGGTTCTCTGTAGCAGTGACCACACCTGAGCCTACAGCAACCCTAAATTCATTTCTAAAATGGAAAAGGTCCCTGTCCTTGATGCTTAGGTTTGAAGTTTATTAGTTATTTTTTGCTGTTTTTAAAAAACACAGGTGCACTCCATTCTCAACCAGGATAGAGGGTGGTGATGTTTGAATCTTATTCTTTAATCCTTGGTTCACCATACGATGTTTAAATGCTACAGCTCTGGAACCAAGGACATACATCTGCTCTGGCTTCATACCTGGAAAGGCAGACCGATGCATCATTACACCTGATATGTAGGTTTGTTTCCAGTCATACCCAACCCTCCCTCCCTGCTGCGAGGTACAGGCACATTCCAAAATTCCAGAGGGTTTTTGGAATCTTGAAGGAGGGGGAAGTCCCCTCACTGAAGGCCAGGCAATTCTAGGACCAGGGTGATACACAAACACTGATAAACAGTGAATCAATAAACACAATAGAGATCACTTGACTAAACAGAAGAAACCAGGTCATCACTCCACCCCCAATACTAGGAGCATACCAGAAGGGGTTGGAGAGATGAAAGATAGGAAGCTGTAAAGAGATTTCAAAAGCTTTTGATTTTCCTCAGAAGGCTTAGTAAATCAAGTGAATTTTTTCAAGAGTAGGAGAGATGAGAAAAAGGGCTGAATTATAATGTTTTTAGTAAGAAGGGAGCCCCAATGAAAGTGGGCTTTAAAAATAAAGGCTAAAAATGAAAGAAACCCTGAACCAAATTTTCATGGCTCTTTTCTGTGCCCAGAAAGAGGACTCATTTCTGCAGCTGGTTGTGTTCCTTATGGACACAGTGTATGCATTTGTTAATGTCAAATCCAGTCAGACATGCTGCCTACCCTCTCAGCACCACCAGACAGTAGAGGCCTTGCACATGTGAAGCACCATCAAAACACCATCGCTTTGTTAAATACTGTCAAGTAGGTTCCAACTCAGAGAGATCCTGTACAGGGCTTCTGAGGAGCAGCAGCTGGGTTTGAACTGCCGACCTTAAAACTAGTTGTCCAGTGTTTATCCTACAGCACAACAGTTAGCAACTTAAAAAAAGCAATTGCAGAAAGATGAGGTAAGAAATCAGATTGATTTTCCTCTGGATCCTGGCCATTATTTTAGAAAATAAAACTCCTCTCCCTTAAATTGTTGGGACCTTTCAGTTTTTCTCTTCTCAGAAAGACTTGGCTCTTGTCAGTTGTTCACAGTAAGCAGGCCAGAATCTTAATGCAATTCCAATATAATTAGACAGCATCCTCCTTCGACCTAAATAAAAACCATGTGGGCTTACACAAGGATGTGATTTATTCATTCCAGAACGTCCATATTTTCAGAGATAACTGAACAATTGTCACTACACCTACTATTTGGTTATCAACTATCTTGTTAGTAGACACTTCCCATTTATGACAGCAGTAAAAAAGCTATTGTCCAACTATTAATGAAGTATGTATGGTGATAATGAACACAAAAGTGCAAACATAAGTTAAGCTAGCTGTGATGGTTAAACAATGTTTGAATTTGGCTGTGTCATGATGCTCAGTGGTTTGGCAGTTATATAATGATGTTGTTGTTGTGACGTGCCGTTGAGTTGGTTCCAACCCATAACGACCCTGTATAGGGATATAATGATGTAGTTATCTTCTATTTGTACATACCACCAATTTTTGCATAATGACCTGGTCTTTGGAACCTAACTATGCAGATAACAGAGGAGTGGGTATGTTACTATGCCTGGCCACATCTTTACATTTGACCAGCATGAAGGTGGTTCAAACCTCTCTATCTTTAAGTTATGAGTGAAGATGTTGTAAGCAGTAGAATCAAATCTGAGTGTATTTCAGACTAACTTAACACAGATTTCTCTCCCACTCTCCCCACCTCCTAGAATTTCTGAATCGAGGAGCTCTGGTAGCGTAGTGGTTACGAATCGGGCTGTGAACCTTAAGGTCAGCGGTTCGAAACTACCAGCCGCTCCGCGGGAGAAAGATGAGGCTTTCTACTCCCGTAAAGATTTACACCCCTTGGAAACCCTGTACTGGGTCGCTATGGGTCGGAACCGACTCGATGGCACTTAACAACAACAACAACAAGGGTTCGGTCCAAGAATTTGCAATTCTATCTTTGCTGTTGTTAGCTGCCAACAAGATGGTTCTGACTCATAGTGACCCCATGCACAGCAGAACAAAACACTGCCTGGTCCTGTGCCATCCTCACAATTGTTGCTACACTTGAGCCCATTGCTGCTACCACTGTGCCGATCTATCTCTTTTACTCAGCATGATGTCCTTCTCCAGTGACTGGTCCCTCCTAATAACATCTCCAAAGTATGTGAGATGGAGTCTCGTCACTCTAGCCTGGAAATGAAGAGGAGGAATTCTGTCTAGTTCCCAGGTCATGCTGATGCTGCTGGTCCAGGGATCACAATCCACTAAATGCTGATTTAGATTGCTGTTGTTGGGTGCCATGGAATCTGTTTGACTTACAGTGACCCCATGTGACACAGTAGAACTGCCGCATAGATTTGTCTTGGCTGTAACCATTATAGAAACAGATTTCCAGGATCCGCTGACTGGGTTTGAACTGCTAACCTATCTCTTAGCTGCTGAGCATTTCAGTTTTGCTACCAGCAGTCCTTGTTAAGATTAAGCTGCCATTTATTCCTCCCAGCATAACTGAGGCTTCAGAAACCCACATCCTGACAACCACCCCTAGTTGTCTGAGACCTACCCCAAAACATGACCAGGCTGTTTCCTGGGCAGTACTGAGCACACTGTCTGACAAAGAAGCTAGACAGCGCCGCTGGAGGGATGAAAGACATCTTTTCCCTCACACCCACCCTCTAGGCTGGAAATAGCCAAACCACCTTAAAGCACACAGGTTACCACGGCCTCCAGGGAGCTGAACTACAGGTTGTGCAGCACAGTGTGGGTGCTGTGTGATGAAACAGGAAACACAAGAGGCGACAGAGGCACTGTTGATTCAGCTGTTGCCTATGCCATTGATCCTACCCCCTTGGAACTTAAGAGCCTGTAACTGTCAAAGAGAAGAGAACTGCCACCATAAACACAAGTTGCGTAGTTCTGGGGGCCCTTAATCTTTGGAGTAGGTTCTCCACAGACTACAACGTCTTCTGCAGTCCAGGATTACTGAGATGCAGCTATCAAAGCTACTTCCCAACACTTCTCACCAACTCTGGCTACTTCTGTGGAACAAACTCAGATGACTGCTGCTGTCTACAGTGGCTCCCTGCTGCCATCCTTACCCTGGCCCTCCTACAATCTCTTCTCCCCACAACCACCAGAGTGACTCTTATAAAACATAAATCAAGTCGGGTCATTCCTCTGCTCAAAACCCATCTGTGACTTCTCATCTCATACTGAGTACAAGCCAAAGATCTTACAATAGCTTGAAAGGCCCTTCTCAGTTTACTTCCATTAATTCTCAGGCCTCCTCTCTTGCTCCTCTCCTACTAGCTCACAGTGTTCAAACCACATGGGCCTCCAGCTTATTCCATGAATCTGCCAGGCACACACGTTTTGCACTGGCTATTACCACTGCCTGGGATGTTCTGCCTCTACATTTCTGCATGCCTCGCTTCTGTACCTCTATAAAAAACAAAAACCAGCCCCACTGCCATTCATTTGATTCTGGCTCATAGCAACCCACTGGAGATTTGGATTCTAAATCTTTACTAAAGCAGACAGTCTCATCTTTCTCCCACAGAGTGGCTGGTGGGTTTGAATCACCAACCTTGAGGTTAGTTAGCACTGCAACACTTAACCCACAGTGCCATTCAAACATTGCCTTCTGAGTGAAACCCTGTTAGCTCTACTTATAATTTCACCATGTTGCTTACTCCTTACTCTTTCCTACTTAATTTTGCTCCTTATCACATACAGCTTACCACCTTCCAACATACTATTTTATGGTTTTCCCCTGTAGACTTAAGTCTTTTTGAATGTTGTCTTCACAACTGTATTTCTAGTGTCCAGAAGAGTGAGTGGTACACATTGCTGCTGTTGCTGAATGTCATCGAGTCAATTTCAACTCATAGAAAGCCCATGTAGAACTGTCCCATAGGATTCTTTGGGGCTGTTATCTTTATTGAAGCAGATCTCCATGGAGATCTTTCTTTCTCCCATGGAGATGCTGGGTGGGTTTGAACTTCCAACCTTTCATTTAGCAAATGATGACTTAACCACACATCACCAGGGTTTGTTCCTGTCTATACCCACTGCTGTCAAGTCAGTTCCGACTCATAGTGACTCTAGAGGACAGACTAGACCTGGCATCTCTCCAAAAGCAGACAGCCACATCTTTCTGCTGTGGAGCAGCTGGTGGATTCAGATCAGCTCCTTTCAGATTTTTCGTTGGGTTCTCTCAAGCTGGCTCCACTCATAGTAACCCTATGTACACCAGAACAAAACACTTCTGGATCCTGCACCATCCTCAATATTGCTGCCATGTTTGAGTCCACTGCTGTAGTCAATGTGTCAAGCCATCTATTAAGTATCTTCCTTTTCGCTGACCCTCTATTAAGCATGGTGTCCATTTACAGGGATTGATCCCTCTTGACAGCTTGTCCAGAGTACAAGAGACAAAGACTGGCCATCCTAAGGAACATTCTGGCTATACTTTTCCTAAGTCAGATTTGTTCATTCTTGAATATTTTTTTCACCAACACCGTAATTCAGATGCATTAATTCTTATTTGGTCTTCCTTACTCAGTGTCTAGTTTTTGCATGTTTATGAGATGTCCTGGTGTGGTGCTAGAGGATAAACACTGGATTGCTAACCACAAGGTTAGCAGTTCAAACCCACCAGCTACTCCTTAGAAACCTTATACTGGTTCTCTGTGAGTTGAAACTGACTTGATGGCACTTTAACAACAGCAAGAACAATATAACATGAGGTGATTGAAAATACCATGGCTTGGGTCAGATGCTTCTTAGTCCTTAAAGTGACATCTTTGCTTTTTACACTTTAAAGGAAATTTTTTTGCGGCAGATCTGCCCAATACAATAGATTGTTTGATTTCTTGACTGCTGCCTTCATGCACATTGATTGTGGACCCAAGTAAAATGAAAGCCTTGACAACTTTAATTTTTTCCATTTATCACAGTGTTTCTTATTGGTCCAGTTGTGAGAATTGTTTTCTATTGAGGTGTAATCCACACTGAAGGCTATAGTTTTTTATCTTTAGCAGTAAGTGCTTCAGATCCTCTACACTTTCCTCAAGCAAATGTGTCTTCTGCATATCATTGATTAATGCATCTTCCTCCAATTCTGATACCGACTTCTTTTTCGTGTAGCCCAGGTTTTTTGGGTTATTTGCACATAATAAAGATTGAGTAAGTATGGTGAAAGGATACAACCCTGATGCACACCTTTCCTAATTTTAAACCAGTCTCTTATTCTGTCTGTTATTGGTCTATGTGCAGTTTCCACATATGCACAGTTAAGTACTCTAGAATTCCTATTCTTTGCAATGTTATTCATAATTTGTTATGATCCACACAGTTGAGTGTCTTGGCATATCAATAAAACACATGCAAACATCTTTCTAGTATTCTCTCCTTACAGAATACCTTACATATTGTTGTTATGTGCCGTCAAGTCGGCCCTGACTCATAGCTACCCTGTATAGGGTTGCTGAAGAGCAGCTGGTGAGTTTGAACCACCAGGCTTGAGGTTCAAACCAACCTTGCAGTCTAGTGCTTATCCTACAGAGCCAACCAGGGCTCTGGTGCCTACAAATATTGTTGAATGAATGCATGAAAGAGGTCGTCTTTCCCACTGGAGAGCAGAATGCTGTCAAATGCTGCTAGGCTGACATCAGCAGTTCCCAAACTAAATTGCAAATTGGAATCATCAGTTTAAAAATTGTGAGTGCCTGACCCCAGGCGCCAAACATTCTGACTTAATTGGTATGGGTGTGACTTGGGTATCAGATTAAAAAAAAAAAAGAAAAGGGACATTCCCAGGTGGTTTTGATGTGCAGCAAAGTTTGAGAACCCCCAGCTGAGAGGGATCCAAGGTACAAGGCACCCTGGAGAGCCAGGGCACTAACCGCACTTCTCTGTCTTGTTCAGGACCTGGGTCAGGCAGTAGGTATTTCCTTATTACCATGTCTTCTCTTCCAGTACCTAGCAGAAACTAGAGTTCTCAGTTCACAGCTAGAGCACAGGTAACACCTTGAACCTCACACTGCACTAAAACGCTGACTTCCAGTTAAGGATGGGAGGAGCACATTGTGTGAACACTCAGAACCTAGAGAAAACTCAATACAAGTTTTAATCAAACTGAAACTGAAATGTGCTTCTGCAAACACTGTGTTCTAGAATGTCCATCTTGCAAATAAACATCTCTTCCCCGACTCATTAACAAAAGAGATTTAAGTGACAGCCTCCCACCAGAAACTATGGGAAACATTGTGGGCTCTGAGGTAGAAGAAATCTTTGCAGCTAGAGGAGAGCTATTCGTAGGAGGCCCCATGGTTCACTTATAGCAAAGGGGACGTAAAGGTCATCTTATCTGGTCTTGTAGCCCAGGTTCCTGAGGATCACAGAGGCAGAACATGACACAACAAGTCACAGTGAGGGTGAATCCGGAGCTGAGTGCCCCTTCCCACTAGGACCATCCTAAAAACAGCCCATAATTAAGCAAGGGGTAAGGAATGGCCATCTAATTTTTTTTCCTGTGGGAGGAATTAGGCAAGAGAAGAATGAGCAAATTAGGTTATGTCTAAAGGAAGCCCAGAGGAAAGACTGAAGGTTAGCAAATCCCACTCGGCCATGTAAACACAGAAGGAATTGCCACATGACTTCTTTGTTAAGAAGCAGAAATGTACAGACCACCCCACCTCCCACTCCTAGCCCTGCAAGCCAAAAACTCTCATTTCAGGCAGCGCTCGAACAAGGACTCCAGATATCTCCCGAGATAACTTCCACCAAATTGTGAGGTCCACTAACCACATGTGCTGTGTCCCTTCCTTTGATTTGTGAGAGCTGCTGGCTACAGTCCAGTCACCCCTTCAAGAGAGCAAAGTCTTGTCTCAGACGCCCTCCCCCACCGTGCACAGCCCTCCTGAGGCCTGACAGAGCCTTAGCAATGTCCTAGAGAAAGACAGGCATCCCACCCTGGCAAGAAAAATGCAAGAATCTGGAGTCTTTTACCCATCTTTTCAAATGGAACCCCAGACTCACCGTTCTTGCTCCTGTGAGCTGCTGGAGATAATCTTGAATGGCATTTGTGTCATTGGAGGCTGTGATATCGACAAATACTAAAAGCCCTTGTTTGAAAGGCAATTGGCAGAGGATCTCTTGGGTCTTTCTGCAGTAAGGGCAGGTGGGTTTAATGAACACAACCACCTTCCCTGGGTGGACTCTGCTGTTCACAAACTGTTGGGCCATGCTGACAAGCTGCTATCTCCACAGGAGGACTCTTCAGTTGCAGGTATTGCTGGAGTGAGTGTAAAGCAGCTGCCCAGCCAGCTGACTCCCCTTTAAAGGAACCTCCCTGGAGGAGGAGTTTGCTTAGTAGTGTGCCTGGTTTTAAAGGGACAGCCCCAAAGTCATTTCTGTCTGGTGTGATTCACTAGTTGGACATGCCTCCGAATGCATGCTTACTGTTTAATAACCAATAGCTCTGCCCAAGGTGCTGGTGGTGTTATCAACCCTGCCCTTTGGCAGAGATTAGTGTGAAATCACCTTCTGGGAAAGTATAAAGTGCATAGATCAGACTCAGGAGGGGGTTGAAGAGACTGTGACCTCCTAAAATAAAATCTTTCCTTTGTTTTTCCCTTCTGGAGACACTGTTTTTTTTAAAAAACACAGACACAAGCAGAACCTTAAAAGGAACAGAATGCTTTGAAATCTCTTTGCTGTTATTGTTGTTAATGCTGTCGAGTTGGTTCCAACTCATAGCAACCCTGTATAGAATTTCCAAGAAGCAGCTGGTGGGTTTGAACTACCAACCTAGTGTTTAGCAGTCTAGTGCTTATCCTATAGCACCTTTGGTGGTGGTGGTGGCTGTGTGCCACCAAGTCAGTTCCGACTTATAGCAACCCTACATAGTGTTTCCAAGGCTGTAAATCTTTACTAGAACAGAAAGCCTTATCTTTCTCCCTGGAAGTAGCTGGTAGATTCAAACCACTGACCTTGAGGTTAGCAGCACAGCTCATAATCCACTATGCTACCAGGGGTCCTTTCAGCACCTTTAGAGGAAGTGAAATAAAATTGTGAATATGTGAAGTGGGTGTTACGTTTGTTGTTTTAGTGAAATTTGTTCACAACTTTTAAAAATCCAGAGATTTCACAAAGAATCAGAAGTTGCAACTTCTCTGAAAAGACAGATCTGATTACAACTATTGGAGAGTTTGCACAACAGGATTGATGTAATTGGTGTCACTGAATTGTGCATCAAATGTTGAATGGGTAAATATTGTGTTGTATATATTTTACAACAATTAATGAATGATTTATTTTTTTATTTTTTAAGTCAGGTCTGGCAGTATTGAGCGTGCATTCTTTTGTGACAACCATCTGGAGTCGAGTAGGCTTTGTTCCATGGGACAGGACAGACATCAGACTACAGTGTGCCATGCACCTTACTCACCTGGCTGGCCCTTGGCTTTGACACAGAGCTTTGTACCAGTGGATTTCAGTTCACTCCCCTCCTGAGAATTTGCCTTTCTACCCTAAATATACTGAATCAGGATACACACTACTCTGCGAACCATAAGGTCAGTGGTTCAAACCCACCAGCGGCTCCTTGGAAACCCTGTACAGGGTTGCTATGAGTCAGAACTGACTTAACAGCACTCAACAACAATAATGACAATCACCAGAATCCTGGTGTAGCTCTGTTGGATAAGTACATGACTGCTAATCACAGGCTGACAGATCAAACCCACCAGCTGCTCTTGGAAACCCTATACAGGGTAGTTATAAGTCACCAATGTGACAGCACACAGCAACAATGTAAGAATTACCTGGGAAGCTTGTTAAAATGTAGACTGTGATGAGGTCTCAGGTGGAAAGGGTTGAAATGGAATAAGTCATTTGAAGCCCTGTTTTGAGATACATACTTTACCCCATAAACTTTTCAGTTTGTCACCCTTTAATAACAGTTTTGTATGGGAGCAAATTCTAACACAGCCCCTCTATTTTCACTGTTTCCAAGTTGAGATAGTATAATAACTCAGCTATCATATTCATATAATATAGATTCAGAAAACTATGTGGAATGAGCGACATCATTGCTGATGTCAGATGGAATTTAGCGGAAAAAAGAAAATACCAGAAAAATGTTTAGTTTGGTTTTATTGCCTACTCAAAGGCATTTGACTAGGTGGATCATAACAGATTGTGGATAACATTGAGAAGAATGGGAATTTCAGAAGACTTGATTATTAAGAAGAATGTACATACTGTATATAGACCAAGAGGTAGTCATTCAAACAGAGCAAGGAGAAACTACATAATTTGAAATCAGGAAAGATGTGTCAGGAATATATCCTTTTCATTCAGCATCCATCCTTCTTAAATCTGTATGCTAAGTGAGTAATCCAAGAAGCTGGGCTATACAAAGAACATTGCATGAGAATTGAAGGAAGATTCATTAACAATCTGAGACGAGCAGATGACATAATCTTGTTTGCTGAAAATGAAAAGCTCTGAAGTTCTTAATGATGAAAATCAGAAGCTATAGATTTTGGTATTGCATTGGTCAAATCTGTTGCAAAAGAACTCTTCAATGTGTTAAAAAGCAAACATGTCACTTAGAGGACTAATGTGCACCTGACATGGTATTTTCAATCACTTCAAAAGCTATGGTATTTTCATCAACTCAGGTGCATGCAAAACTTGACATAGAATAAGGAAGACCATAGAAAACTCGATGCGTTTGAATTATGGTGTGGTGCCGAATATTGAATAAACAATGGACTGGCAAAATAATGAACCAATCTGTCATGGAAGAAGTATAGCTAGAATACTCCTTAGAAAGGGGATAGTGAGACTTTGTCTTAAGTACTTTGGGCATGTTATCTGGAAGGATCAGTCCCTAGAGAAGGGCATCATATTTTAAAAAGTTGAGTGTCAGTGAAAAAGAGAAACACCCTTCAAAAGATGGATTCACAATAGTAGCTGCAATGATTTTCAGGACAGCAAAGGATAAGACTGTTTTGTTCTGTTGTACACGGGGTTACTATGAGTTGGAATCCACTTTATAACACTTAACAATAACACCATACTTCATTCAGGTTTTATAGCCTCTCACTCTCTATTGGCTCTGTCCCCTAAATATGCAACTATTGCTATGAGTCAGAACTGATTGATGGCACTTAACAATAACAACAAATGTTCCAAGTCTCACTGCATGAATAATAATTCCTTTTAGAAAAATCAGTATGAGGCTGGTCATATAAGTTGGAGGCTAAAGATAACCCAAATGTCTGGCTTTTCCAACCTGTTACACCACACCATAATCTCTGATCTCAATCACCACTCCTCCCTCTCTCACATCTGAGTGTTCTGCAACATCTCACAGAACTCACAATTGTCAAAAGAAATGGCTCATGCAATTGTGGATGTTGGCAAGTTCCAAAGTTGTAATTCAGAGATCAGCCTGGAGGATTCTCTTCCCCCATGTAGACTCAGGAACTGAAGAGCCAAAATTGGTAAGTCAGGCAATGTTGATTAGTGAAGCTACAGGATCTGGTGAATCCGGTCAGGCAATGGGTCAAAAGTCCCCAAAACATGAGGCCAAACATAATAAGCCAGATGCAAGATTCAAGGCAAGTTAGTGAACTTTGTTAAAGCTTTCCTATATATTGGACTCGGACCACGCCACCAAGGAAAACTCTAATAAGGTGAGGGTATCCTTCATCTTTGTTGTTAAGTGCCGTCGAGTCGGTTCTGACCCAGAGCAACACTGTACAGGGTTTCCAAGGCTGTAAATCTTTACAGGAGCAGAACACCTCATCTTTCTCCCATGGAACAGCTGGTAGTTTCGAACTGTTGGCCTTAAGGTTCGCAGCCCGATTTGTAACCACTACGCTACCAGAGCCCCACCTTAATCCTTGTTGTTGTTGTTGTTGTTAGGTGCCATTAAGTCAGTACCGACTGGAAGCAATCCTATGCACAACAGAACGAAACACTACCTGATCCTGGGCCAACCTCACTATTGTTGTCATGCTTGTGTCCATTGATGCTGCCACTTTGCCAATCCATCTCACTGGGGGTCTTCCTCTTTTTCTCTGACCCTCCCCCTACCAAACATGATATCCTTCTCCAGCAACTGGTCCCTCCTGACAATATGTCCAAAGTATGAGAGACAAAGTTTGGCCATCCTGACCTCCAAGGAGCACTCTGGCTGCACTTCTTCCAACACAGATCTGTTGGTTCTTTTGGCAGCCCATGGCACTTTCAATATTTGCCTTCAACACCATAGCTCAAAAGTATCAATTCTTCTACAGTCTTCCTTATTTACTCTCCAGCTTTCACATGCATATGAGGGTATTGAAAATACCATGGTTTGGGTCAGGCGCACCTTAGTCCTCAAGCTGACATCTTTGCGGATTTGCCTAATGCAATATGTCATTTGATTTCGTGACTGCTGCTTCTGTGAGAGCTGATAGTGGATCCAAGAAGAATGAAGTCCTTGACAACTTCAATCTGTTCTCCTTTGATAAGAATGTTGTTTATTGGTCCAGTAGTGAGAATTTTTGTTTTCTTTACATTGAGATGTAAACCATACTGAAGGTTGTGATCTTTGATCTTCATAAGTAAATGTTTTAAGTCCTCTTCACTTTCAGCAGCAAGGTTGTATCATCTGCTTATTGCAGGTTATTATTGAGTCTTCCTCCAACCCTGATGCCACATTTTTCTTCATATAACCCAGTTTGTTGGATTATTTGCTCAGCATACAGGTTGAATAAGTATGGTAAAAGAATACAACCCTGGCGCACACCTTTCTTAATTTTAAACCTTCATTCAGTGTTTCCATGTTCTGGTCGAACAATTGCCTCTTGGTCCATGTACAGATTCCTCATGAGCACAATTAAGTGTTCTGGAATACTTATACTTAGTTCCACTTTAATCTGAGTTAATCTGTAATCTTGTCTTAAACCTGCTTTATTAACAACTCACTTCAAAATGGGTCCATAGTCACAGGCACCAAGGCTAGGATTTACAACACATCACAGAATGGAACAATATGGCTAGAAGGAACATAATAAATACTTAGTTGTTCTGCAGTTGTCATGTTAAAAACCAACCCCCTCTCACCACCTACATTTATCTCTTTTGATCTTGCTTCCTGCTCTCTCCTTTCCTTAACACACAACTTCCTAAAACTTGCTGTTGTCTTTGCTATCTGTACTGCTCAACTTCCCTTCTCTCCACATCTC